GCACCGCATGGGGTTTGGTACAATTGTCTTACTTTTATATTCCGCCATGCGATGTCAATTTTTTCGGGTAGATGGTATAAATCGAAAGTCAGCAGTACTACTCCAGTCGGATACAAGGAATCATTATTAATTGTTTTTTGAAATTTGTAAGCACCAACTACTCCTTGAGTGCTTAGTTCGCTAATGATTTCCTCGATCGACACATTATTCAGGAAAGGTGCATATATTGTTCCTTTGTTGTTGTTTAGATTCTCGTGGTATTTGCCCTGGACGGCACAAATGCCCCGAAGATTTTTAAGTGCGAGAAATCTTTCAGCTATAATTTTATTTCTTGCGAGTAAGAGAATGTTTCCATCACGTGGTTCTGAAACACTTTCTATTTCTTTGCTTACTGCACAAATTGATTTGCGTACTGCAAAGCATGAATACTGCGATAAAGGTTTATCCTATCGGCAGATTCTAAGACAATACATTTAGGATCGCTTTTTTTAACGGTTGGGAGTTCGGGAAATATAAGGTCAGTGTTAATGAATGAATTTTTTTTTGTGTTTAGCTTTCTTTTTTTTAATACCGGCACTGTCGGAAAGCAAAGCAAACCGATTTGCGCCCACAAGGGATGGCCCTGGGGCCATTTTGGCAAAACACTTCACAGGAAACTTCTTAATTAAGATTTTCTTTAAAACAAATTTGCGGAAAGAAATGACTGAGAAATTTTTAATGAAATTTTTAGTACAAGAGTATTAACTCAAAACTTTGAACGAAATTCACACGGTAGAAAAAGAGAATTTTGCACTATGAGTGATAGTCTGTGACTGCGATTTAAGAAATATATATATAAACATTTCTGCGTAAATTTATAGTTTTAAGCAGTTGTACAGAATTAATAAGCCCACATTTCAATACTTGTTAGAAGTGTTACATAATGGCTTACCAATAGCGATAAAACTTCTTGCAATAAACACCATTGTAGAACTATCACCTTGTTTGCGATTTTTTGGGGAAAGAGCGTATCATAAAGTTGTAGGCAGGCAAATGGATGTTGGCTTATCGCAATGAAGCTTTAGTATAATCCTTTCTGCAAGCAGTAGATAACGTGCGCCTACTAAAGAAGAGATGCGGGAAATAATTATAAATTTTTACTAAAATTTGAATATCCCTTGAAACATTGAATGCATGGGTAGCACGCACGTTAAATTATAGGTCCCAAAAGCAATAAACACTTGTATTACAACAGAATAGACTACTTTAGTATTAATGTTTTTCTAGTAACTTAGTTAAATTTTTTCTGTGCATACGTTTGTTAATAAAAGTTTATCTGAATATATGTGATGACAAAATGAAAATAAGGTACATACCTTATGTTGATGCTACACACCCTGGAGCCTGCCACGATTTATTAATTTGGAATATAGGCAGTTACGAAACAAGAAGCCCAAGAAATGTTTGACTGCTAGAAACTTATTTAATTAAATCTTTCAATGACTAAATATATAAATTTTATTTTTTCATAGGTGACGCTGGGTATCCATTCGAGCCTTGGCTGCTAACAACCTACCTATCCGCGACAAAAGGATCTTCAGAAAGTAAATTTAAGCGTATGAGAACTTTTACTGGAGATTCATTATAAATTTAGAAAGTTTAAAATATAGTAAATTTAGTTCATCAATTACATAAAGAGAAAAATTAAGAACAGAGAAACTGTGTATAGAAGAAGTAAGTCAACATTACTAGTTAATGCCCAAGCTTCTCTTTGCAGCCAATATTTTTAGTTTTTGAAATTCGATTTGGACTTTTATAAATTTTAGTTTACTGTTTACTTATATTTTTCCAATGTGTTTTTATATCCATTATTTCTTCAGATATACTAATACATGTTTATATTTTTAATTATATCGAAAATTGTTATCTGCATAAATTATATAGCTAAAACCTAAAAGGTCTGATTAGATAAAAAAAAAATATATTATATGTATAATTAAAAATAAAACAAGAAAAAACGTTAACTTCGGTTGCACCGAAGCTACAATACCCTTCAGAAACACAAAGGCTCCTTACAAGAACTTGATTCCGATCGTTCAATTTGTATAGCAGCTATATGATATAGGGATCTGATCTATACAATTTCTGCGGAGAATATATTGTTGCCTTCGATGATAACTCATGCCAAATTTCGTGAAGATACCTCGTCAAATAAAACAGTTTTCCGATCGTTCAGTTAATATGGCAGCTATATGCTATAGTTATCCGCCTTAAATAATAATCCATGCCAAATTGGGTGAAGATACCTCGTCAAATAAAAAAGTTTTCCATGTAAGCACTTTACTCCGATCGTTCAGTTAATATGGCAGCTATACGCTATAGTCATTCGATCTATACAATTTCTTCGGAGATTGCATAATTGCTTTAAATAATAATCCATGCCAAATTTCGTGAAGATACCTCGTCAAACGAAAGAGTTTTCCGTACAAGCCATTGATTCCGAGCGTTCAGTTTATACGGCAGCTATATGCTAAAGACATTTGATCTATACAATTTCTGCGAAGAATATATTGTTGCATTCGATGATAACTCATGCCAAATTTCGTAAAGATACCTCGTCAAATAAAACAGTTTTCCATGGAAGTACTTTACTCCGATCGTTCAGTTAATATGGCAGCTATATGCTATAGTTATTCGATCTATACAATTTCTTCGGAGATTGCATAATTGCCTCAAATAATAATCCATGCCAAATTTCGTGAAGATATCTTGTCAAATAAAAAAGTTTCCCATACAAGTACTTGATTCAGATTGTTCAGTTTGTATGGCAGCTCGATATCGGCCGTTCCGACAAAAGAGCAGCTTCTTCGTGAGAAAAAGACAGGGGCAAAATTTCAGATCGATACTTAAAACTGAGGAGCTAGTTTGTATATATACAGACAGACATGGCTAAATCAATTCAACTCATCATGCTTATCATTCATGTACTTGTATATATTTTATATGGTCTCCGATGTTTCTTTCTGGGTGTTACAAACTCCGTGGCAAACTTAATATACCCTTTTCAGGGTATAAAAAATGCGCTTTATGCTAAAACTGTCGCAAAAATGGCTTTTTAAATTTACAACGTTTTTTTCAATGCCACTAAATCAAAACAAAAACAATATATATTATAGGTTCTCTGATAATATACGTTCTCTGCTAATACCATGAAATATACATACATATTATTATATAATTATAAAAATATTATTATGATGTGTTAGAGTTCAAATACCTTTCGATTTATTCGATCGATTTGTCTGTTTTGGTTTTCCAGCTCGGATCCCATATCTAATGCCATATTCCGAAGATTTCCGATCATGGTGTTCACTTGACCTACATTTTCCTCCATCTCATCTTCACGAGCGTCATTTGTTATTCTAAAAAAGAATATAATGAAAAGGTATTTGACATGTTTCACCGTTCTAAATAAGAAAATATGCAAACAATTGTTTTAAGTTTTACCAAACATTCTCAAGTGATGCAACTCATTCAATAATTAAGCAACATCACTCTCATTTGATGATTGTAATTGGTTAAAAAATGCTTAAAATGCTAATAACACATATCCACACATATGTATAGCTTTGAATAGGATATAAAATATATAGAATAGAGTGGTGCCAATACGTTACCCATATTGGTCATTTGAGTTGACCATATAAACTAGTATATATGTATAACGGTAAAATATTTTAATTACACTATGTGTGTCTTTGGCCATGGTAAAATTTCGTGTTAAAAATGGATAAAATCGGTTAAGATTTTCTCATTGATATTAACCTTATTTAGTACTTGCTTTACCCGCGGTTTCGCTCGCATTGAATACCTAAATTAAATTTCAAAGGCCATTATGAGAAGGCAAATAACTAAATACATAGTATGTACCCGAAAAATATACCGCGCTAATAATGTTGTGATAGTGGTGATAACCAGAACACCCCAATTTTGTCTGATGAATATGTGCCAAAATAATGTGACCATAATTCAATAAACCATTTTCGTATTTGGCTACATCATATGTCTGATATTGTGTGACTGTAAACATTTTTAACACAGAAACGGCACTTTGTTGAATTAAATGCAAAATTAAACCACATTGTACAAGTATGTAAGATGTCCACATGTCCCCTAGAATAACATTGTTGGCGTCTTTGAAAGTTTTTGCGTAGATTTTGTCGTTTTGCTTGTTAAAAATTTCTTTGAATTTTTCAAAAAGGATACTTTTAGGGCCGTTGTTTTCTATCTAGTGTAAGTGAATTCTCCTTTATCTTATGAATTACCACAGGTAAATTGCCTTTCAGTAAAAGAAATTATCAAGTTGAAAACTACTGATAACAGATCCCTTGAAAAAGCATTTATTATCTTTAAAATAGGTGTCGGAATTGTCAGGCGATGTCGAAAAAGGTTTATAAATACTTTTCCATGTACAATAGTTGCTGTAGGTTTCGATGGTCGTTTTTATCATTTTCTTGAGATTATGCAGGTAATTCACATAAGAGTAGCAAGATCTAGAAATATGGCCACCTATATATATTTCGGTTTCCTTTAGGTGCAGAAGACTGTGGATGTTAAAAGAAACACAATTTTCACCAAACAAAATTCGAAAGTTTTCTACAAATTTATTGAGCATGAATTGGGTGTATAAGTTTGAATCTCGTTGCTTATGGCAACAAAGAAGCCTATACCAGCAGTGTAATAGAAGGAATATGTAATAAATATCTTCATGTACTACTGCCTAAGTCACCTGCTTTCCAGTTAATCAAATCGTCTAATGGTCTTGGTTTTCATACAAACTCCTTTGGCATGTGGCAGCTAATAAAAACAATTTTTTTAGAAATACCTTTTTTATTTAAAAGCGAAAGTTTAAAGGAAATCTTATTGTTCATTAATTTAAACAAAAATTTGCGCATAACGCCGAAATCTATAAGATGCATTCAATTTAATGGAAACTGGCTGATCATTGAAATTTTTAAATTTTTTAGACTCTTTTTTCCTGATACAAAAGGCGAACTATGATGCTCACGGTACATTCTATTTGAAAAATCCTCATCAGAAATTAAATCCTTAGAGGTAGTACTGTGTGTCAAAATGCCATCTACTTTCCGCTCTACCTGCGTACATTTGGTACAACCATACCAAGAGGAATGAGACGGTGTTCCACTAATATAAGCTCGTGCGGGAGTATCGCAAACTATATATCCAACAACAGGAAAAACTGGCCTAAATTGAATATTATTTAGGCGAATTAAAATTGAACTTTTAAAAAGCGGTAAGGCGTCTATGTTAATATCAATGTTCAAGGTGTCGCCTATATGAATAATTTTGTTTATACTATAACTAGAGAATGTTAATAAATAGAGAAGCAGCAAATGTTAGCTGTACTTAAATGTTAATTAAGATGAGGGAACATCGAAAACGCGCAAGTACGAAAATAAAATTTTACCATCCTATCAATTTACGCAACGAACTACACCACTCTATAAGCAAAATGTATACACATACATATGCACAGATGTTCTTTGGTATGCACATGAACAAAAATTAAAGTAATAAAAAGGGAAATAATTAACTTATGAAAAGAAAATGTAAATAATGAGGGAAATAATATGAAAATATAATTAAAATATCATTTAATAAAAAAGGGTTATAAAAATAAAAAAAAAGTATATAAATATATCTGATAGGATTTGAACTTAGGCAAAATACTTCACGTTGCAATAAGGAAGTCTGCTATACAAGCGTGGTGCTGCAATACCGTAGCAATTTTGCCTAATCTGTGAACTCAAACAGCTATTGTTGTTTACTTGATTCAATGTTCATATGTCTACTTATATGTGAATATTCTTGAAATTGCCTTCCTTCATTCGCATGTCCAAATATATTTGCATATATGTACACATATGTACATATTTATGTCCCTCAATATGTCTTTCGCAAAAAATCAAACATTCGCGCAAGTGACAAAAAACGTAAACGCCATCATCGGCCAATAATATTCAAGCAAACTCGCGGCATATTTTCTAAGTATTTCATATTACAACGACAACAAATTCATTCATAAGGAACGTGCGTCTGCTTCAAAGCAAAGTGCGTTCGTTCATAACTCTGCGCCGCGCTATTTTTTCTGTGCGCCTGGTAAACCACATTTGGTTTTCATATAGAATTCCTACCGCAAATGCGCGAAAATAAAAATGAATGAAATTGAATTCCGATTTTGCCCATTTTCAAATTCAAGGAAAAGCTGTCAGAGTTATGTTATGCACTAAATTTATTTGAAATCGGTTGAGACGTTCTTGAGATATAGGAGTTCTCCTAAAGTTGAGTGGTGCTACGCCCATTGTTCACTTTTGATACTGGCTTCTATGCCGCTCTTCCGTACCATACAAGTATAAGATGGCTGTACCATATATATTTAGTAAGTTATCGAACTTTTAGTAGTTTTAAACATAACGGTAATACGTTGCGNTATATTTTTTGTTGCATTCCTTTTTATATTTAAGTATATTATTATAACTAATTTTGATTAAAAGTTTGAAATTTATTAAAGAAATAAAAATTATATTATCTACTGCGCAAAAGAATTTTTCACTTCTGATAACGTTTCAGTCATAACTGACAATTTTCAGCTATGACGGATTTATGGTCAGCAATGACTCAGAAAAAACAAAACAAACAAACAAAAAGAAAACAAGGCTCTTAAAAAAATGATAGAAACTTTGTTCTGCGCGCTGACAAAATTTTTTCAGCTATGACTGTCATATTACCCATCAGATGACCGTCACTGTTCTTGTAGGGTACGTAACAAATGTAAACAAATAGATGTGTGAACTGTCAATGAAAACTCATCGAAAACACACAATGTCTGTCAGAACGACTTTGGTTCCACAATCCACAAATTGTGTTTTCAAGAGGATTTCAATTCGGTGCGAACATAGTATTAGAAATATTTATATTAAGATAAATCTAATTTACTGAATTGATCCCATGAAAGGTTAACCAGAGAATCGGTAGTCACTACATAAGGAGTATGGGGTCAGATTGATCGTTCTAAGCGATTAAAAGACGACTATATGCACTCAAGTCCACATATTCGATATTTGATGGTTGGATTAGTTATCATCCGATTTTGACTAGACCTTGAGTATCATATTGTGAGGGCCCCATTTGTGCAAAGTTTCATTTTGATAAGATCATTGGTGCTTTATTTGTATGCAGACTTCACCCATTTTCATACTATAAGATTGTTCTTGTCGTTCCTGAAATATAAGGTATCATCTAGAGGTGAGTAACGCTCTTTGCCTAATTTTAATATAATTATATGTATATTTATTTTGAAATAATATGCTTTTAACGCTCTATTTCGTACAAAGAGGAGTGAAGTAATATCAATATTACTGAAAAAATATATATTCAGGAAACCTTTAGAAAGTTAAGAGATATTTTCATTATAAAAAAATTAGCAAATATTGTAACAATTGAAAGAAATTAAGTATTTGATTATACCTAAAGAAAATCTTACTTTATAAGCTCAAAGTCACGCTCACACATGAAATAAAAAGCGAAGATCTAAAGCTATTTTCACATATTTCATATAAACTTACAAGGAGCTATTATTTTAAAAATGTAAAAACACCTAGATTTACTCTTATTACCGATCTGAGTATGCATATGTAGTAGGAGGAAAAATTTGGTACTATATTGAAATTCAGGTATTTCTGTAGGTCATTTAAATGCGAAACTTCGTCAAATTCTCCCTAATGCAAAACGTCATAATTTTTTTTATACTCTCGCAACCTGTTGCTACAGAGTATAATAGTTTTGTTCACCTAACGGTTGTTTGTATCACCTAAAATTA